AGAGTGTTTCAGCTCATTGCGGTTTCTTCCGGTGGGCTGACAGTCCCACATATTACACTGTCAGTAGTCATGGGAATCCGATAATTTCCCAGGTTGATAGTGTAGATGATGACAGAGGTAGCCAGAGTTTGAAATTAAATATTTTAATATTTCTCATTGTAGTTGTACTTGTCTTTATCCTTTTTTTATTTATTCTGGTATGGTACTCACGAGAGAGTGAGAATTGTATGTCGTCTTTTGGAACTGATCTGTGATGATTGTATGCTTCTGCACTATATACTTTTGTACTACCAGTAAGCTATTCTGAATAAGCTGCCACAAAAATTTTTATCAGACGGGCAAAAATGTCATTTAACCACCAATAAACTAATCTGAATAAGCTGCCCCAAACAGCAAGCCAGATTATTCTGAATAATTTGTTTATCAGCAGATTATAAATAATCATCATCATCAACAGCTGCGCCAAACAGACCCTATATCTCCGATGTATTTATATGCGATAATGTATGTTCTATGGTGCCCACAACTATCTAAAAATCATTTGCCACAGAACAACATATACATCAAAATTTCAAACACTTATTCGTTTGCAGTATAAAATAAACCCTAGTAATTCAGCAGTTTCACGCGCATTTGGAAGCTACATTCTGAAATTTCAATAAGACTGCACATGACTGCAACTAGCTTGTTGGTAGTTTTGTGTTGTTAGTTTGCCAAGTCGTCCTTTCATGAACATTGTTATTCCGGATATGAGGTAGTATAATAGCTTTTACAAAATTGCTCAATTATTGTGCAATGGCAGAGAGTGTGCACATGCAGGAGAAAAAATGTTTGTTATTTGTTTTGAAAAACTGCCAGAATTGTGGACTGGATGCTTAGAGAAAAGCAATGCAAAAGAAATAAATAAAGAAAAGCCGACATCTTTCTGATTTCATGTAAAGGATGAAATATTTGTGCAAAAACATGTAGTATTACCTACTTTTGCATATTATCACATAAAGCAATCAACATACAGGTGCTTAAAACTAATCAATTCTGAATTCCAATAACATGGGAATACTGTCACAAAGCGTCTGCTACTCACCAACAAGACTATATAATGTCACAATTCACCCCAACAAATAATCTGGGGCTAGCAAAAAAATTGGAATCATGTTCTCCCACAAAAGCAAAGCAACAATATCCAGATGCGATTAATTATAGTAAAATCTTACTTGGAATTTTAATTAAAATCAATTCATTGAACACTGCATAAAAACATATAAGAAACATGACCACGTGTAATTCAATGCATTATTTTGGTGTTAAATAGTAACACCTTAGAATCCAGAGTTTTAAACAAATTCAACAGATTAGAGCACAAGGAAAAAAAATCTGAAGCAATAGCTAATTTACCTATCTCAAAGGTTTGCATCTAAAATAATTTTTTTATTGTTTCTACACTAATCAAATTTTGATGGATCAACAAAATAATTTTAAATTGTAGCAATTGGCTATCTAGGTTGTTGAATCCAGATTAATCCTGTGAGGTATGCCCAAGGATCAAAGCGGTAGGAACCTTGAGAGAGAAGTAGAGAAAGATAGAGAAGAAGAAATAAAAGAGCACGCATGACTTGCCCCTTATGAGCAAATTGAGGTATTCTTGGGCTTTGTGACTCATTTTATATATTATAACTGAGTGATTGCAAGAAAAAAGGGAAAATATCTCCTTACAGAGTATGGGTCTAGCGAGGAGCCAAAAAGTTCTTATCACTTCGATCATTTATTTCTTTCTCGCTCTATTTCTCCCTCAAGGTTCCTAACACTTCGATCCTTAAGCACATATGACTTGCACCTTAGGAGCGAACTGGAATATTCCTGGGCTCTGAACTGGGTGATTAAAAAAAGAGAGATCTCTTTACAAAGTATGAGTCTAGAGAGAAGAGTCAAAAGCCCCCCGTTGGCTTGTTCCTTAATGAATTTTTGAGATTTTTGGTGGAGTTATTGAGAGGGGGTACAATGTCTTTGTCCAGTCATTGGCGTGGATACTGTTTCTAGTCAGCCTGCATGCTTTCAGTCGTTTGGCATACCTTCGGTGGTCTGTTAGCCCATCGGACCTCTATCAGCCCTTCACTCCTTAGGCAGACCTACAGTCATTTGGCAGCCCTTCGGCCGTCCGGCAGCCCTTGAGTACCGATAATCTCTTTATGATATACATATTAAGTTCTTCAATTCTCATCTTTGAGGCAAAGCTACGATAAGAATAAAAGAATCATTCAAGGAAAAAACTTGATTATATTTACCTATTAGTCACTAATAATACTTCCTCGATTTCAACATCCTTTTGCGCTTAGTCTTGTCGGCTTTGAACTGGTCAGCTAAGACTTTTAGTCGGCTAAGCTGATCTTCGGTTGTCCCTTCAGTCGTCTAGTTGACCTTCGGTCGTTTGACTGACTTTCGATCGTCTAACTTTCAATCGACTGACTGACCTTCAATTAGCCTCATCTGTCACTTTGACATTTTTAGTTTATTAATCTTACATGTAAGAAAAGTCATAAAAATGTTGTACCTTTTGTCGAAAATGAAATTGAGTGAAGTTCTGGTAACTTTTTAACCTTCATTTTAGCATTTTACCTCCACCGCTCTATCTATTTGAAATTATTACTTGATGATGAATGCTGGTATAGGTTGATGACTGAAATCTTTGGAAAGATGGTCGTTATTTGATAATGTCACTGCCCGACATAAGTCTTACACGGCTTGTCTCTTTTGTTCAATGAAATTTGTCGCCTCAATCGGTCCACACATCTCATTAGGACTTAAGTGAATCTTGTCGCAGCCTTTGCGGAAATAATTGTTGAGACTCGTTGTTGAGATGATTTGCATCATACCCTTTACAGAGCATGACATTACTAGACAAGGAACCACATCGAGAGCTATATCCATGTTGATCTTCAAGATAGCTTTTTGATGCTTGGTGTTGTGGGTCGAATTTGTCGTTAGGATGTTCATCGGATGTCAATAATGCCATTGTCGATTGCTTTTATTATTTAATAGTATTGTCGCCTCAGCTCACACCTTACACGTTTCAAGATCTCATTTGTTTGGACGTATTGTGGTCTTTGACGAACCCACCTTTCGTCGGGACTTAGGCTAAGCTTGTGGCAATCTTTACAGAGGCAACGGTCGAAACTCGCTGCTGAGGTGATATGCATCGTACCCTTCGCAGAGCTTGTCACTATTTATCACGGAATCACCTCCAGAGCATTATCTGATTCAAGCTTAGAAACCAATAGTTACGATGTAGGAGCATTCTGGGCTATTTTGTCAACTAAACCTCTTTAGGGTAGTTGTCAGCATTGCCCCTAAGATTCAAGTTTCCCAAGTGTCAATTGGATATAAAAAAATTTTAAAGAAATTTGTCTCCTCACACAAGATAAGTATTGAAGTAATACTCTCTTTATTCACTAGGTAAGGTGTTAGCCGCATAGAATTGTCCGAACGGAATGGGGTACAAACAATCGGTTGTTTCAATCGCTGAAAGCTAGCCATCCATTTTGTGCTACTCGCCTCCTAGTCAAAGCCTCTAGAAAGATGATGGATACAGTGTTTTTAGCCCAAAATCTGTTGTTGCATGAATATCTTAAAGCGATCCCTATTAGCAATATCTATGAGGTGCATTTCTCCTTGTTGGTATCGCTTGCCTTCTTGTTGATAGCATATTACTCGCTCACCATACAGTTTAGGATATTAAATTTAGAATTGTCTTGTGAAATATGCCTAAAGATCGGAACGATAGGAACCATGATGGAGTAGGAGAGGGAGAAAGAAATAAACGAGCATGTATAGACTTGTCTCTTAAGGGCGAATTGGGTATTCTCGAGCTCTGTGACCCATTTTATATATTGTAACTGGAGTGTTACAAAAGAAAATGAAAGATTTTCTTACAAAATATGGGTCTAGAGAGAAGAGCCAAAATTCATGTCACACGTAGTAATGTTATGGGACCCCTATTTATAGGAAAAATAGAAGGTTAAATGTAGAAAATTGCATATCTGCCCCTGCTTTAATAGGGGTTACAGGACTATTATTTTTCTCCGTGCATTTTTGTATTTGTAACTAATTTTGATATTTTTTTGTGTAAATGGACCTTCTAGTCGACAGGTCTTCGAGTTCGTCAATTATTTTGTCTAGATACCGGTCAGTCTTTGCTTTGGAAAGCGGATCGGCTTTGAGAACAGCAGTTGATCGGTCTTACGGTAGTCGGCCGACTTACTTGTTCCTCAATAATTTCTGAAAAATTTTGGGAGAGTTGTTGAGAGAACATCACGTTGATACTTGTGAGATTGCTAGGGGTACTAGACCCTTTCCAGTCATTTGAGTGGATGTCAGCTTCTGGTCAGTTTGGATGGTCTTCCAGTCTTCTGGCATACCTTCGATCATCCGGTAGCCTTTTGGTTGTTCACCAGGCCTTCAGCGTCTGGCAAACCTTCAATCGTCTACCTGGTCTTCGGTCATCTACAGATCTTCGGTCTTCTTCAAGCCCTTCAATCGTCTTCAAGCCCTTCAATCGTCTTCAAGCCCTTCAATCGTCTTCAAGCCCTTCAATCGTCTTCAAGCCCTTCAATCGTCTTCAAGCCCTTCAATCGTCTTCAAGCCCTTCAATCGTCTTCAAGCCCTTCGTTACCGTTAGATCTCTTTAGGATCAGCATGGGTATATTTTTAGTGTACATAGGCATAAATAGAAATAAGATAGCATAAAAGTATAAAAGTTAAAAGTATAAAAGTTAAAAGTATAAAATGATAAACCCATACATGAAAAATAATTCAAAGCAAAGGATTTCAAGTGAAAATCAATCAAAATAAAGAGTATGACATCAAAAATGTAGATGTTCAAAGAGGCAAGTTATTTAAAAAAAAAAAGATAAATGGACAACTCTCAGATTTCAATAAGGGCAATTCAAACTGATGAACTCACAGCCTCCTAAATGCAATAGTGAAATGTATGAAAGATTACTTACGCGACAAATCAGCAACCTGCTGCGGCGTCAGCTTAGCAGAAAACCCGCTCGCAGCGTGCTTGTAATGGTAGATCAGCGCCTCCTTTGCCGCATCCTCGCTGCCGATGCGAGAAAGATGCGATAACGGTTTTAGCCCAAACCAGAATCCCTAATGCTAATGCTATTTATAGAGAGAGAGAACCCTAACCTCCCAACGACCGAGGCAAGGGTGCGGATGTGGAAAGCCTCCGGCTCTTCCTCCACCGGGCGATCAACATAAACGATGTGGACGGCGCCATCCTCGCCAGAGCCGGGTACTGAAACACCGACGGGTTCCGCCATCAGGAAAGAAATCGTCGATAACAACACAAATACCGAGATGAGAAATGAGACTCGCATTGACGAAGACGCTTATTTAGTAGTAACTGGCCTCTGCTTCCAAATAATAGAAAATCGATGAAGATTTGTGCTAAATTTGTAAGTGGCAATTGTCGGGTGCTGTATAATAATATTGTGGATAAGCGACAGCTTGCTACAGAAGTTTTCGTGCCTTGGACACCAAGGAAAGTTGTGTCGCAGTGTACGTGCCTCAGTGCCTGTGAAGTATAAATTCGTACTCTTTAACCTTTATAAATGTTATACTTATATCTCCGCCTTGGGTTAAAAATTTATAGCCCCCTTAACGGGTAACCATCGCATCGGAATTTGATAAACATTATTCTATTGATAGGCTTCTCAGTTACCAACAATAATTTTGGATATTTTAAGATTTTAAATACTTCTCAATAAATGATCAAATTGTGAAATTATATTATTTTATGAAAATACAAGATGGAGATTTTTGTGTGCCACATATCACATAATTTTTTTGAGTGTTCTACCTTGATGATCCATAAGACTTTTTAAGAATAATATATCCTTCAGAAAGAATGAAGGAAATATTTCTTTAAAAATGGGTCTGATCACCCAGATAATGTAGACCTTCGTAAATCTATGGGTCATGTTCTTTCCCTTGCCTTATAGATATCAGATAAGGCTATTTTATTTTGGGTTGTACTCTTTAAAAGGACAAGTCTTCATAACGAATTAAATGTCTAGAGTTGTAAACCTTAACAAAAACTTGATTAATATAATGATTTAAATTATCTTGATTAGACTTCATAAGTGACGTATTGAAGGTGAAGGAGGGATCCAAATTTGAAAATCAAGCTCAAAGTAATGGGACTTATAATTCAATGATGTTGAACGAAAAGGCCCAAATAACGTGTGTTAAACATCCAGGAGAGGAGGCTTTACTTGAAGAGTGACGGTTGAGGAGTTTGAAGAAGAATGGTAATAAGTTTAAAATGATCTGGTGAGGTCCAAAGATAACTTAGGTATACTTAATTTCATTTATTGAAGTGGTTGGAATTCCTAAACTAAAGAACTGAATCGGATAGAAGGATTTCTAGATGAAAGTGAAACCTTAGACTCATGAAAAGTCATGATGGGTATACTAACGTAGACTTTGGGAATAACATCTTCGCTCAAAATAGTCATAGCTTTTCATCATCCAGGGCACGTTGGAATCATGTAATTATAACCAATCTCATAACCAGGAATCATCCTTGAGTGTCATGATCATGGCGTGTGGAGGTTTCATAGTTTCAAAGCAGTTTAGAATACCTTCGTCAGTAACCATGGGTTACATCGTGCTAGTGTATTCCTTCTTGTCTTAGGAGGTAGGTTTATTTGCATAGTCCTTAGTGTACCTATTAAACTAACTAATGTTTCTATACTTTGACAAGTCTAGGGTGAGCATAAGATCCTTAGTTCTAGTGCTAAGTTGGATAACCTGGTATTTATGTCGAATCTGTCAAGGTTTGATTTCTATTTTTAATCTTGGCGTGATTTAGATGTTGAAGGTTCAATATTTAATTTGTATTTTCTTTGAATTCCTAGGATTTTTAGTCATTGTGAATAATCAAGATTTTCTTAAGTTCTATTTTATTTTGTTTTTGTAGTCAAAGTTTGGATTTTTATGGAGAGAATCATCTTGTGAAAGTTTCTCCCCCATTTTTCACACATTTTTCTATTACGTTTTTTTATTATTTTGAATTTACATAATAAAGAGATGAAATGAAACGTGAAAACATATATTTAGCATGGATTAAACCTGGGTTAGGGTTCCACTAAAGTGAGTTAGCTTTCCAACTAAGATTATCTCAAAATTGAGCTCAAATATGATATGGGATCAGCTGGTCTAGACGTACATTGAAATGAGTTCGACCTTAGTTAGACCTGAGTTAGACTTGGGTTAGACCTAGGTTGCACCTAGGTTGGACTTTAGTTGTATTGAGTTAGAGATTGGTTGTTAATTCACCTTAAAATTACCTATTTTTAGTGCATATTTTATGATCGTTTTATGTATATTATTAGTGATATTGCACTTTAAAGGAAGGTATTTTGTATGTTTTTTTTTTTTTTGTTTCAGGTACATGGAATGGACATTTGGAGAAAATGAGAGCAAAATGAGCAAAATTGGAGCAAAGTGTATGGCGCCATAGCGCCGCCCCCTGGCGCTATCGCACCACAGACGCGTGTAGAGGGCTTTATAGCGCCCATACTGGCGTTATAACGCCAGTAACTTCCCTTCTAGAAGATCCTTTGAATTTGGCCAAATTTTGAAAAAGTGTTTGAAACAAACCTTGGTTATTGTTGACCTCACTTTTATGGAGACCTCAAACTGACACCCATAGAAAGGACATGTCTTGAGTCACCCACATTGACTCAGGATCCCTAGACACCTTTTTAAAGACCTAATGATCACCATGATCATTAAATTCATATTAGAAGGAGGTTTGTCAGCATTGACCCCTTTGAACCCATCTACGGTCCCCAAAACCTTAGAAATTGGATTGGAGCCCAATACAACCTTTTTTGGCTCAGACCATGATGGCATACCAAAATGATCAAATCAGTAATTATGAACCCTGATTTGATCAACCCTGGACCCAATGGTCATCACATTGACCATTTGGTCAACCCTAAGCCTAATGGTCATCACAATGGCTATTTTGGTCAATTTTGGACCTACTGGTCACCACATTAACCATTTTGGTCAACCTTGGACTCAATGAACACCCCATGGACCATTTGGTCAATCTTGACACAAAATTGGTCAAAATGGACCATTTGGTCAACCCTAACACCAAAATGGTCAAAATGGACCATTTGGTCAACCTTGCCACCAAATTGGTCAAAATGGACCATTTGGTCAACCTGACACCAAATTGGTCAAACCCAGTCAATTAGTTAATCATAGACGTTGATTGGTCAAAGCTAGTCAATTGTCAATCCTAGAACTTGATTGGTCAACTCTGGTTAAACTGGTCAATTCTAAAGCCCATTGGGCAAAGATGGTCAACCTCATTAGTTTGACCTAATTAATTGATTAATTAATTAATTAATCAATTAAGTTATTAAAATAGCTCATGAAAGGCTTTAACCAAAATCGTTTATATGAAGGCCTAGCCCATGTATGAAAGCCCAAGCCCAAAAGGTTCCCCTTCACCCATGACCCTTATGTCATCTATGAGCTATAAACCTAATAGGACACATTAAGCATGTGGATTTAAAGAGGCCACATCACCTAGCCATCATTTTTGACTTGGGGAAAAAATAATCATGAGAGGTAAAGTTACATGTCACCATGGTAAAAACTCAGCTCACCTATTTTGAGAAGAGATAAGGTTGCTGAATTGAAACCTTGTCAAGGTGTCATTCCACCTTATCTCCTCTCCAATGATAAGAAAGCTCCACCCAAACCTCTCATTCCAACATACATGGGCTTATCTTGACTTAACCATGGGAAAAAGAGAAGGGATAAAGCTTAACAGGAATTTTGACCCGACCCACCAATACGCAGTAATTTAGCTTACAAAAGATGGTAAAAATTTGACCCTAATTATATTTAGAGGCTAGTGTGTAAAATCAAAATTTTATAAAAATTTAGAAAATAGTTTACACACTAGGGGTACTACGCAAGTATACATATTATTTCAAGTAAAATAGGATTTTTCTTAAAAACCCTAGTATTGATCCAATGAGGATAGTTGAACTATTTAAAATGGATTGCTAAACTCAAATTCAAACTCTATCTAAATTACATATTTAAATGAAAATGAAATGATAACAATAGTTAAGACTAAATTAAAGCATAACTATATTTTTATTTAAATTGTGTTTTAGTGTGAAAACTTAAAGTTTAATATAAATAATTTTTTATTATATTATCCCTTTCAAATCTGAGTTGTTTCCTTTATCTTTCTCCTTGCAATAAGTAACAATGATGTGTAAGATTAAAAGTGTTTAAGATTTCTCTTATTTCATACTTGTGATGATTCATTACTTCATTCTTAATTTACGTTTTCAGTCAGACCAATTGAAATGTTAAAATATGTTGTAAATCCATAAAGACCTGGAAGGGTTATGTGTTCCTCAACTAGTAAGAATCACATTAATTCTGAGAGTGAGAAGGTAATCTAAGGGTTTGTGCAAATATATAGGGAGATAAATTTTGATGGGCATAGGATTGATGATTCTGGGGTGACAGGCTAGAACCTTAACCAATTTGATCTTTAGTTTGGAACCTAATGAATAGTTAGTCATATAGAGAGGGCACAGTGGGTAATCTAGAAGTGAGGGGTGATACACCTAAAATATATAGTGTTTTTAGACACATTTTTATACCTATTTTTGAGATATTGCGCTTTAATGGAAGATATTTATGTATTTTTCTTTCAGGTACAAGTAAAAAGGTATAAAATACTAAAAAGAGTGAAAAATGATCAAATTTGGAGCAAAAATATAAAAATGGTGCAAAAGTATTTTGGCGCCTAAGCGCCAGATCCGACACTTAAGCACCGGTGAAACAGAGAAAGCTGCGCCTAAGCGCTAGAGGCCCCGCACTTAAGCGTCAATGACAGTTACTTGATGGTTAATTCATTTTAACAAATTTTGAAGAGACATTTGAGGCACTTATTGGCTAAGGACAAAAATATAACTAAAGAACTTGTGAAAGGAGGCATCCATTGGTAAATACATCGAATCAGGACACATTTTGAAAAGATGATAAGGCAGCTTTTGGAAAATTCTAAAAGAAGGAAGTCGAAACTTTTTGAAGGGGGGAGTCTTGAAAAATCTTAAGAAGTTCTGAAAGGTTTTTGAAGAAGTTCGTGGAGAAGCTTTTGAAGAAAATTTCAGGCACCAAAAATTTATTTCCTTTTGTTTATAGTTTTAATTTGAGAGTTAAGAGTGTTGTAAGAGAGACGATATTCAAAGGAACTTCAAGAATTTGGTGGAGGATTTGAGATAAGTTTTTATCTTTGTTTTAAACTAATTTTGGTTTTAATTGAGACTTCTTGTTGGTTTGACAAAGATTTCTACTTTTAAACTAAAGTGTGGTTTTGTTTTCTGTATGGATTCTGAGTAGTTTTCTTTATCTTTTTTCTTAAAATTATAAGTAATTAAAGTGTTGAGAGAATATTAATCCTTAATATTGGAAGAAGTTGTGATGATTTAATTTCATGCACTTCATTTACTTCTTGA